GTGACGTACACCCTCAGAAAGGATTTCCGTTACCGAGACAAAAAATATTCTGGACGCTTTTGCATTTCTCGCAACCTCATTTAGTATAAAGATAAGACAACATCAGAATAAAATCAATAATTCTGATTCTCCTCTATCGAATTAAAAAAAGACTGACTATATCGATACAAGAGTAACTTATATAAATGTAAGTCTATATATTCTTGCGTTTAGGCTAAATTGTCCCTCCATCTTACAACGCACGAGGCTGGCACCACGATATTCGACAAAAGATATATACTATCGTTTTATTCTGGATTTTAGAACTTTTATTAAAGTCGAAAACCAGACGCGAAGACAACATCTTTATACTATTATTGCGACAAATATTGCCACATGCCTCAGTGGTCGAATTGGTGAGACGCCCGCCTAGAGGGTAGGGAAGTCCAGGTTCAAACCATGGCTGAGGTAATATTCTTCGCAATAAATTTTCGGCATTGACCGGTTAACTAACAAATGTGGCCAGCTGTGGTCGAATGAAATTTGCAATTTTATTATTGTACTGGCAATTTGAAGAAACTAATCTTTTTTCATTTAAGATTAAAATATTCCTTTCTCTATAATAAATATGATTGACGCTATATCGATCCTATTTTATGATACATTCAAGTGTAACAGCATTGGATGCGGAAATTCTTTCTGTGGGTGTACAGTCGTTTGACTGTTCGTCCACTTGACGCGAGTCTTAAATCTATTTTCCTTCGTCCACTTCATCATGCGTACATATTTTTGCAAGCGGAGCCTCACGCGTCAATTTACACGGTAAAATATATTTTCGCGATATTACCGCATTTATTGCAAGTATATGGCGCGATTATCGTTTCAATTCCGAGACACGTCGACATCGGTCACAGCAGCTTGCAACGGGGATTACTTTTAATTATTCCAGTTAATTATTTCGTGCGGCAAATTCTGTATTTCTTGTCGCGTTAACGAACGCAAATTGACTGTTGTACGACGCGACTGCTGCGCGCGCGGTATAAACTCCGAAATGGAAAACAACTGGCGGCCTAAACGGCTGGGGCGCAATAAAATATTTTACCAACGCGGGGCATATTATTCTGACGGTTCAACAAACTCGGTATAACAAGAGAATCTTGTTTATTCGACGCGAATAATGATTAGCATCAATACTGTCGACCGGCACGCACGAACCCGCCTAGCTGTGAACACTGGAAGAAAGCTCGATGGGATCGGACACGCTATTTCCATTCCCTTCTCAGCCGTTCTTTCTTGTTTCTTGAGAAAGTTCCAACGAGGAAACTGCGTTTTCTTCTACGTGAAAATATCGATTGGCTACACGCGCGACCGACTTTATGATTATATATATTTTTTCCCGACGCATTATTCGAAGCGGATGTTTTTTGTACGTCACGTTCAATGAGACGCCTTTCGCAGCGTCCTTGAATATAAATTAATTAAAAATCATTAACGATGTAATTAATAGCGATAAAGATATTTTTAACACCCGCTGCGTTAATTAAAAAAAATTTAAGTGCTATGAAGGGAATTACTTGAAACGATCCGCACGAGGTACGCCGAGCGAGGGGGAAAACCGCTGACCAAAATCTTGGACACCAATGCCCAAAAAATGCCTAGTAATGCCCAGTAATGCCGCAAATGTTGTCCCACCGATCACATGATTTCGTTTGATCTCATACGATTGCATCCGATTACAAATAATTTTCTTACACGCACGTTTAAAAATATGTCACGTTGTTAAATCTCAAAGAGCCGTTAGATTTCCTTAAAACCTTCTCAAGCTGAGAAAATGTCTATTTCAAATTTAACGTCTATTGTCTAAATCATTGTCTGTTGTCCGACAAGTGTAGATACTAAGGCAATTAATCGCTTGAAAATAAAGACAACGGGATTACACGGGAATTTCGTAGAGATTTCATAATGATTACGGAGACACTGTCCCACGATTACGTTAAGTGGTTTACCCCCTCGCGTAAATCTGTACACCACAAGTGCCCTCAGCGGTTTCCCCCTCGACGCCGTGTGATCTCTTAACTTACATCTGGCAAAAAAAAATCGACCGAGAAATCCAGTACGGCGCCACGTATGCAAATCAAAATTTTACGTGAGACGAGTAACAAATTGTAATTGAAGCTCCTCTTTATTGCCCGTGAAAGTGGCTCGTAACACGTTCGACCGTCGGCACGAGGTCTGCATTGCAGATCCCTCCAACTATAACAATACCCTGACAGCGTAATGTAACGGTGAAGTCACGTGTCTATAACGTCACGGACGTCTTAATTTCATGCATTGGGAACAGATCGATGGCTCAGAGGTGGTTTCAACTACTATCCCCCATAAAGCCGGTTACGGTTTGTTTCCGCGCGTACCGTCGCTTAAACCGGCGGCTTTACACCGCCCGAGGGAGCGCGCCAAGTTTGCGAGTAACAAACGCGATTCGATAACGTATTCTTGATTCAGCAGAAGTGTCATACCTCGCCCCACGATGTTGTCGCAGACAAAGCCAAGTTCGTAAACCCGTGAGCTTTAACGTGCGAGGTGCGCGCAAATTAATACGCGAAATGGATTGCCACTAATAACGCGTCTATCGAGCCGTTTGAGGAAAAAGTAGCGCGCAGTCGTATTTCCGACGGCGTAGAAAACTTCTCTGTGCACAAATTTAATTGGTATAATTTATCGTGTCACGGAACGTAAAGCGCGTCCTTTGGAATTGTCTCTTATGTTAATGATTATGACACGGCACGCGGACTAAAGCACTTAAATTAAGTAGGAAATTGTCCCATTTAAAGAGAGTAATATAGCTTCGAGCAATTCTTCGTAATTACGTAGAAACATTTCATAGGGGAGAACGCCGCCCTTCGTGTCAACGACCGAAACGCGTCTGCGTTAAGAGGGTCACTGAAACTGCGCACGTAAGGTCAGTTTCATTCCGCCGGGGACCTTCGAGGAGCGATAAATAAAAAGTGCGTCCCAGACACGTGACTGCGAGCCAACCCTCCGCACGTGTACGTCCGTTTATTATCGGATTATCGCGCCTCCGCACCGTCGTCGGGGGTTCACGAAGGATCGCTTCGAGCGCGGATATTGTTCGAGCGTAAAGGAGCGATCTTATCAGTTAACCCGGCCGCAAGGAGAACGCGAAGGCGGTCGAAACGCCGCATCGCCGCGCGGCGGTTCCGCGAGACGAGACGTCGGAATTTCAAGAAACGGCAGCGCGCGAACTGCTCTCCTTACGAAAGACGAAGGAGAATCCCGTATTTCTCTCCCCGTGGCCGGCGATGCGTGTAAGCTCGCAGTCGCAACATTCCCGGGTCCTGAATCTCCCGGCACTTCGGGATTCATCCCCGAGCGCCCGCGCCGCCGAGAGTGCGAAGAGCGAGGAGCGGTAAGAGCGCGAGCGAGCACGGGAGGCGAAGGGGAAAAAAAAGGGAAGCGAACTGAGAGAGTTAGAGCGAAGAAAGAACAGGCGTCGGGTAAGACGGGCGCGAAGGCGGCGACGCACAAGTGCCGCGGAATGGAGTGCAAGATGGTGCACGTCCATCCCATCCAGCAACCTTTCTTCGTTCTCCACCGCGTTTCGCCTCCTCGCCGGCTTCTCTTTCGGCCGGTCCGCCTCCTCGTCGCTCCTTCACGCGCTTTCAAGGCGGCGGCGGCGGCGGCGGCGGCGGCAGCCACGCATCGATCGGGGGATGAAAAGTGCTACGTTACCACTGTGGCCGGTTGAATCGGGAGGGCTGAGTGCATTTTCCATCCGTCACCACCCCCTACCGCCGCCGCCGCCGCCGTCCGATTTTTCGCCTTTTCCCACCCCCGCACCCCCGTTATCCCCCTTTTCGTTTTCACGGTTTTGTCTGTAATGCACACGCGTCGATACGCGAAAGCCTCGCACGCCGGCACTTGCACGCGTGCTTTTTACCATCCCACGACCCCTTTGGCATACGGGATCGTTAACGATTCTTTCTGCGCCGCCTGCCTTTCTTCGCGAGAGAATCCCGTCTGAGAGTGTTCGTTATACTCGATACCGTTCTAAAGTTACCAGAAAAGATTTTTCCTCAAACAAGCCGCGACGATACCGAGCGCAATACGTATATCGGTACAATATACAATATTAACAATAAATATAAAAGTCCGATTCTGAATGTTATTTTACATCGAAATATCATTCGGTATAAACGTCTCGAGGAAAAATAACATTTTAAACCATATGAACCATATATGAAAGCAATATCACACTTTCGACATTAATAATAAAGCGAAGTCTAGAAAGGTGTCCGAGCACAGAGTTTCCAGGCGATTCATAATTAATTTCATCTCATTTTGTATATCATCGAATAGATTGGCTCTTAAATAAAGTCGTAATTTAATTTCACGGACTTAATAAATTTCTTTCGTAAATTGAAGCGCATTAAAAAATAAAAGTGCAGTTCTTTAGACGAGTGAAACTTGCACCTCGGGTGCCGTATTTATAGCGATTAACTCATCCGACGGACTCATCGCTATACGTGATGCAAGACACGACATAAATATTTCTCTCGTTCGCTTTGAATTCTTTTCGTTCGTCCTTTTTCACCGGCTGCGTTGCGCACGCATTTGTATTAGAGGGCCACGTTTTCCCGCCGTGAAAAGAAGCGACGATTGTACATTCCCTTTTAACGACTCCTTTCTCGTCGCCTGTCACTGTGTTCTGCGTAACGCGCGTCAGCCTCTCATTGCCTCTCTGCACCGAATGCATTTTCTTTGTACCGACGAAATCCGTTTCGATGATTCTCGCGCAGAAATTCGCTAGTTTAATAAAAACCCGCGCTGGAATAACGTATTGCAAATTCTCGGCAAGTTCCGAAATCTCCCCGGCGAAAGATTAGTTTACCAAACTATGCCCGCAAAAATCCCGAGGCCTTAATGCAAGTCGATCTATTCAATAAACTAGGAAATATGCTTCACAATCTGATTTCGCAAACAATGTTAACAATGTTACTCACCTAACGAAGGGACGAAAGTCAAACTGGACGAGGCTAGCACGAATCTGGAACAATAGAGATATATGCTGTTATTATTAGTCGCGCCAGAGTTTGTCGCGTAATTGTAACTAACTTCGACTTTAACTAAGCGAATAATTAGCCACCGTTTCCTGAAAGCTACAGCATGTCGAAACGGAGTATTGTGAAACGTAATAAAGTGCTCCATTGTAGAAACAGATCTGTAGATTCTAACAAATCGCATCGTTCTACAATCGTGCAGTTTTCCTATGGAAAGAAAAGTCCATCTTTCGAGAACAGTGCCTTTAATAGCAAAAAAAAGTAATACTCTAAAACAGGAACGCTTTCATGTTTTATCAATTTTTCATAATACGTCACGATTTGTCTTTCACTTGTAGTGATATCTCACTGACAGTTTGGCAAAGTGCTGAAAATGTCAAAACTGCAAGGTAATAAAGATTGACAGCAACAGCATGAACTGGAGCTACGCAAATAGATTATCACATATCGGTTAAGCTGGTTTTCATGACAAGGAATGTACATTAGTACAGCGGACATCTTCGTGTCTCTCGCGGCGGATGTGCACGGCGAGCGAAACTCGTATGTACCCGCGAAACGAAAAGTTTTCGCGGAAACATCGCAGTTTAATTGAATGCTAGAATGCGGAGGACGCGTTGCTCGTGTAACCAGTGCTAAAATTAAATTCTTCTTACCGCCGGGGAAGCAATCGGAAAAGCTCGTTTCAGTTCTGCTTGGCTTTGAATGCGATGTGTGTCTTTAAGTTAGAAAACAAATTTGCTTTGTCGGCGACACAAAAGTGCTCGCGATGTTCCAGTAACAATTAAAATGATGCGAACTCGCGCGCGAAATCGACTGCATCGATTGTGACTTATTGTACATTGGACAAACAAAAAGACACATAGAAACACGTATTAGAGAACATAAGAAAGATAGCTCTAAATCGACCGCGTCGCAATCAGTCGTTAGTAAACATCGTATCGATTGCGACCATTTCAATTGGAGTAGACCTTCGATTCTGCATAAGGAATCGCATTTTAAAAGGACATATTGGCAATACTATTAATCTACAGCGAGACACCGATAATTTTAACTCTATACAAAATAGGATAATTCGAATAACATAGTATTTATTGCTTATTCTGTTTTCTAACGTTGACGACTAGACACATTGTACAACAAAATTTCTGTCTTAATTTTCACATCTCTGATCCGACGAATCTTGTAAGTTTTATCATATAATTCAAAAAACACTAATTTAGTTTCTATTTTGTTTGTCTGTGCTTCAGACGTTTGTAAACACTCTTGTAAGTTTGTTACCTGAAGAGGACTAGTATTACTGGCCGAAACGCTGTGTTTTATTCGAGGGGGAAACCGCTGACCAAAATCTTGTACACCGATGCCCACACTAATGCCCAGTGGGCATTACTTTATCTTGTTACCTTATTTTATCTTTACAATGCCCCAGCAAGACCCAATGCCCAAACTAATGCCCCAAAAATGCCCAGTAATGCCGCAAATCTGTACACCACAAAGCCCTCAGGCGGTTTCTCCCTCGGTTTTATTATAATAAAGAATTGCCAGTAAGGTCGTTTCTATACTTATTAAAATTAAAATAATGTCGAAACGAGACATTATACTATTTCGTCAGTTGCATTTTTTTCAACATCATTGAGAGAAGCAGATACGCCAGCGAGGGAATTGTCACGTTCTAGTTTTTAATGAATAAAAGTTGTAGCTCCGTTGCACTTTGCAGGCACAAGGATACGTGTATTAATCTCATGAATAAAATCTTGTTTATCGCGTTATTCAACTTGCCAACAAACGTGGCAAAGCGTACAACATTTTTCTGAAACAGTACTAAAATTTTCATCGCGTGGAAGAGAGAGAGAGAGAGAAAGAGAAAACGGGGAGAGAAAACGCGCCGGAGAAAACGTGAAAATAAATTTCTATGGCCAATCCGGTAACGCGCTAGAGGATTCAGGATTACTAAGGTTTTGTTCCGACGGTAATCCTTTTTCGTCGTATTTCGTTTCAGTTAATTCCTGTTGGTGTTCCCCGCGTGACATCATTTATTAAACCCCGAGAGGCGGATTTGCTTAGCGTGCGCGCGAGTTTGATGGTAAAACACCGTAAAATGGAAAACGCAGTTCTTGCAAATACACATCGGTATAGATGACAATAAACTTTCATCGGTTTCGCACGCGCACTTTGATATCCTCGAGTACAACGCGCGAGTGTCGTATTTATTTAATACGGCTGGAAAAATTAGAAAATATTTTATCTGCCCACGCATATAAATATTCCGCGTTTTTCTCCGTATCGAGATTATTCAGCTCAACGTTTAATCTAGTTCACTCTTTTTTTTTTGAAACTCGACTTCGATGTTTACATAAAAAATTGCCAGAAGAAAAAATAAAAGTTATACTTTAAAATATAACAAAAATATGCTTTATGCATACAGAATTGTGTGTAAAAGAATAACAGTTTCCTCGTTCTGAAATAATAATAAAATGTTAAGTGACAAAGATTAGATCCGTTGCAATTATCGTCAACTATGCTAATTTTATAAGGCGCTATTCGCGGATTCGGATTATACTTTCCTTGTCCCGAAATAATAATCAGCTTTAAGGTAACCGGGATTAGAGTATATTTACCGCAATTGCCGGAAACTACGCAAATTTTATAATACGCTATTCGCGGATTCGTTATTCTACCGCGCTTCAGCTCGTCTAGCATAGAAATAATTAACGTGCTAATAAGACCCTGAAGACAGTCGGTATCCTCGTTACCGTCGCGTAACGTCATTTATCAAAGAGCGTTCTCGGACGCACCGGATCTCAATTTGTATGACAAAGCCATCCGATGATTCGTGTCGCCGTATAAATCTTCCGCCGGCGAAGAGCGAAATTTCATAAGAGGGAAACGTGTGGATCGAACTGCTGCAAAACAAATTGATTTTTCGCGACCCGGTACGAACGGGGGGACCGAGGGGGAAGGGGAGGTGCGGCCGCGTTCAATTCAGGTATTTCGCAAGCGGAACAGTCGCATGGCATCGCGCAGGCATTTCCATTTCCGTGTGGGATGTATGTGTGTGCATAAAGCTCGAAAATATCCGCCATGCACACACCTTCGCGCACGTCGAGTGCAACGGCAAGCGCGACGATCGCTCGTAATTTCATATCGCCCATTTTGGACGGGCGACGTAACGCAAACGCGGATATAACGGCCGATTTTCAGATTAAATATTATTAAATTTACGCGGGCGACGGCGTAAAAATATATATGTATATCTGGAAACGTCCGTTTCGCAACTTTGCAAAAGATGCGCGCAACAAGTCTTGTCATTACAAAACGTGTGTGAAATAAATTACGGAATAGAATGTTAGCATTGCACACTGATAGGAATTAATTATAAAAATAATCTTAATTAAGACCGTAAAATCCATGTCTTGCCAATAGTTTCATTGTTCGACGAGCTGCACTCGAGACGAGACGTTTTATTAAATCTTCGATGCGTTTTCATTAAGATAAGCGACGATAACATAAAACGACACGATTCGCAATGAAATTGCAAATTTCTGTCACTGGTGTGATTGTAATTGCCGACGCACTCGATACGCGGGGAGATGTTGTTACCGTGGTTTCGCATGCAAACGCACACGCGTATGTACGTACAGCGGACGAAAATTTCCGGGACGCGAATTGAAACGCAAAGAGGAGGGAAAAAAGAAAAGAAGAAAACGAAGAAACTCGACGAATCCGCGTAGCGGACATATTTTTTTCCTCCGCTGGAAAGCTCGATAATCTGCCACCTGTTAGGCTTAAAAGTGTCGGACGAGTCGTTAAAGGGGTCCAGGTCCAGCGCTAGCATCCGCTGAAAAAATGGCCGAGTATACGCGGCGTGCCGGGGCACGAGGGGGGCACACGCGATATATTTGCAGGCGAAAAACCGGCGTGGCGCCGGGGTGAATAACGGCGCCTCGCCGGAACGAGTCGCCGGAATTTATCGACGCGATTTTTTTGGCGAAACGAAAACTGCCCGCTTTATTTCGCGCAGTAACAAAGCTCGAAGGCACGCGCGAATTGAATCAAATGGTAATTGAAAAAAAAAAGACAGAGGACGAGAGAAAGAGAGTAGAGGCTCCGTAAGTATCGCACGGCCTTTGAACTCGATAAGCGCCCCAGCGTTTCTGTAGGAAATTCTTGTAGGAAATTACAGACTGATTCTTCCTACTCTCTTGACGCTCAGGTAAACGTGTCTCTTCCGGAACCGGAAAACTCGAGGAACGCGACGATCCCGCGGACGTCTTCCCGTAGGCGAGCGAAACGACTCTTTCGCTTCGGTGCCACATCAATGCGCGTTAAAACAATCCTACGATTTTCGGTGGAACGCGCTCGAGTATCCGCCGACCGCTATTGTTCTCGCTCGTATTTTCACATCGGCAGCGAAGACGGAAATAATTTAATTTTTCCGCGGTCTACCGAAGGCCGGTTTAACGGGTCAAATGGACACGCGCGACATGCCGCCGTGTCAGGAATGAAATTGCCCCACCGCCGCTCGACGCTGGCTCTCCTGGAATTTTTATCGAAGGATCCCTCGGCAAAAGCCATCCGACGCCGCGCGGACACGAATTATTGCCACTGCGGAATTTTCATCCCGGTCTAACCCACTGGGAGCGGCGGCGGCGGCTGCCGCGCTGCTCGCCTCCTCCGCTCGAATAATTTCCATTCCACGATTTGCTTAATTCCACCCCACTCGTTCTCTCCTCCGGCCAGTAATCTTCGCGGAATTAAGAAAACCGTATTATCTCCGCCGGTGAGGATCGATCGTCAAGGTATTACGGACGCCACGAGCCTCGTTATATTGAAAATTGTATTATCGCGGATATCTCAACAATATTTTTCTCGCCCGGAGTCGAACCAAATTTTTTTTTCGCAGCGCAATGTTTTTTTTCAGAGATCGACGGACGCAATGTGCCCGGTTTAAATTGGGGGCACTGCGTTACAAATCACATTTTGATAATAG